ACATCCAAGTTATAAAAATCACTCCACTCCAACGTGTTTAGAAAATCCACCTCAGCCCATTGTTAGCGATTTTTTTGTGGCAGCACGTACGTGTTTAAATAATAAATAATTCGTATCTATTGATTATTAAGAGCATGGTTTTAAAACCCGACCCGGCCCGGCCAGTTTAACCGGTTGAACCGGACCTGAATTTAAAAACGGGCCGGTTTCATGCACTGGCCCGTTTTGCAAATTGGCCTGTGTTAGCCCGTTAGACTCGTTGGACCCGCTCCAAATGCCCAGCCCGTCCCACCCGCCGGGCAGAATATACCTTTATTAACCCCTTTTTTTTTTAATGTAATTTACTTATTTTACCTTTTTTTAATGATATTATATTAAAAAATCTTAAATTTAAACTAAAATTAAATCTAAAAACCCTAATCAGTAACATTTTGTAAAAACACATGGAAAAAATAGAATTAGAAAGTTGAAGAAACACATCATCCACCGGCCATCCCTCTCCCTCATCCCTGCTCCACCTCCGTGCCATGACTCCATCGGCATCTCACCACACCAATCACCGCCTCATCACCTCCGACAAAGCAACCTGATCTCTGCACCACTTCCGTCAAGATCTCACCACCAGTCACCGCCTCATCTAGTCATCTCCACCGCTGAACAGAAGCAACAAAGCAACCCGATTTCCCTGCACCTTCGTCGGCAGCTCACCATTGCTCCACTTCCGTTGACAGCTCCTGATAAAGCTCACATCCCCGCTACTCGTCTTCCTCTCCTTCACCGGACCAAACAGAAGCAACAAAGCATAACAGATCGTCCCTGATTTTGCTCAGATCTCGGCAACTCCGCCACTCATCTTCCTTTCCTTCACCGGACCAAACAGAAGCAACAAACCATAACAGATCGTCCCTGATTTTGCTCAGATCTCGGCAACTCCGGCACTCATCTTCCTCTCCTTCACCAAACCAAACTGATTTTGCCCCCCCTTCATTACTGAACAGAAGCCACAGAAAATGTGAAAAAATGTAAAAAAAAAAAATGTTTTTTAGTCAACCGGTTGAACCAGACCCGCTGGCCAAAACGGGTCAGCCACCGGGCCGGGTTCAAAAACATTGATTAAGAGTGCCATTTTTTTTGTATTTTTTAAAATAAATTTCTCTTTGTAGGAGCATATTTGAGGATTTTGCTTAGTTAATTTTGATTATAAATAGTCTACAAATTTTATAAAATGATACTTAATTTTTATCATTTTATTTACTTAAAATAATTAATATTCTTGTTAAAGTGAAATTAACTCATTGAATACGAGTTAGAATCACTATAGTTCAAAATTAGGGTGATTATTGCACAAAACATAAAATTTTTAATTTTAAAATATTTCAATCAATAAAAACTT